ATTTTGTGGTCAGCTTACTTAACATATTTGATTCTATGTTTTTACTACATTAAAGATAAATTTGGAGAACAAGTTGCATGCTGTCAATTCACAGTATTTTTGTTTGCTAGGGCTGTCATATTTTCGCTTTACAACTGTTCTGTATTATATTCTTCTGCAATGGTGGAATTTTTAAATTTTTTTTTTTTTTTTAATTTCATGTTCTTTTGGGGATCTACTCACATTCTTGTCATATCTCTTGATAATTAATCTTTATTTTTTGCAATTGAACTTTGCAATGTAATCTGATGTAGTTTAAATTTCTACTTCCAACAGTGGTGGTAATGGAAGAACAATTGGATTTGCATCACAATTGCATCTTTTAGTTGCTGCATTGGATAAGTCATTTGAGGCTCAATTCATGGAAGATTTTGTTTCAGGTTTGAAACTATAGGGAGTAGAGAGACATTTGAGCTTTTAGTTTTTAACTTTTTTTTTTTAAAATCTGCTTGCATTTATGTTAGAAACTTGGAGTACAAACCATGGTAATCTCAAGTGGAAAATACATGAATTAATGTTTTGAAACATTTGATATCTGATTTGCTTCTTTGACAGTTGAGAACTCGGGCTCTGAAAGTGTGAAGTCTACTGCAGTCGTACCTCCACCAACAGTCCTTGATCGTGTGCTCAAGGATCTCTTTAATGAGGGTATAATAATAATCATCCGTAGTTATAAAAATGCTGCATTTTCTGCTTTTGGTTACAGAAGATGATTTATTGTTAAATAGTAACTATTGTTGTACTAACCTTTAAACTTATGATGCATGCTCAATACTTGACTTGTGTCAATAGCTATGAGAGGGAGTAATTTTTACAATCTTTCAAAGTAGCTAAACTTGGCAATTGGCATGAATTTGCTTTTTGTTCATGCACAGAATCTTGCTACAATATGTGGTGAAAACTTAAGTTGGATTTATAAGGTTAACGTTTAGTTGATGGTACAAGGATTGACTTAAGTAGTAAGTTGGATTCTTGGCTGACCTTGCCAAGTATAGACTGTGGACTTGTTTTATGTTGTACCCAACCAATGATAGTACTTTCTGAGAAAGCGAGTTATAATCTGTCTTTATTTACATAATTTTGTTGTTATATGCTTTTCAATTTAGAACTTCAGTGTCAGGATCTGAATGGAGATATGTAGTGCCTCATTATCTCTTTATTCTAATGTGTTAATTAGTTGAAGGAGTGCAACTTGGTTCCCCTGAAGGCGAGCATAAGAGTTCTCGAGCCATCAAAGGCGCCCCTCTTCAATCTCTTTTTGCACAGTTCTGTCTCCATGCTCTTTGGTTTGGGGATTGCAATATACACGGTATCTAATTGGATTCTTTTGTTGCGAGAAAAAAAAGTTCTCTATCCTCTTACTGACATAAGTATATTATTAATTAATATATTTATTTATTTGCAAATCCTTTTACTAAAACACATATTTCCCCCGTTTTGGTATAATATTTTCTCTTAGCTATTGCTGTACTCTGGATTGAGTTTGTGCGAGAAGTTCGTTGGTGTTGGGAAGAATCACAACCATTACCCAGAATGCCAGCAAATGGTGTAATTGACTTATCAACTTCTTTGGTTAATCAGAAATTGCACATGGTAACTCCATCATTCATATCCTTTTGCTGATAGAGAACCAAGAATATATAATAGAGAATATTTTTCTTTACATTTTGAACTTCTCTTATTTACAGTGATTAGAGATACCTAGGGTTCCTTCAAAAAAAAAAAAAAGAAAAAAAAAAAGAGATACCTAGGGTAAAATAAGCATAGAGGCTAAAGGAAAATTCAACCAATGATGATTTTTAGGTGGTAATGAAGCAAGGTAGCTGTAATTGAGAAGAGAATGGAACACCAAAGGACCATATTAAAATGTCCTTTTATGAAGCTAGGTACATGGGCAGTGCTTATTTCAGACAAGTATGAAAAGAAACTTGTATTAAAGATGATTTGAACATGTTAGAAAATGTGATAATTGTTGAATTTGGAAGATGGAATGGCCTGGCGGGTGGAGAATAACACCACCCGCCAGTTAGGGCGGAAGCAATATGAAGAATCAAGACTAGGAAATGAATATAAGACTGAAATTATATTAGTCTTCCTTGTTTCTAATACAGAAACACAGTACATATATATATACAAAGACATAACCATAAATAACTACCCATAACTTACACCTATTCATAAACAGACACAACCCTATAAATAAAACTAACTCTTTATTTTCAACACTCCCCCTCAAGCTTGAACATCTGGAAGTTTCAAGCTTGGATTAAAACATACACTCTACCATACTTAGAATTACAAATGAAGATTAAAAGCAGCTAGAGAATAACAGTGTTGGATGGCTTCGGAGGAACAATGCTATAAACAACCCTTGGGAATGAAGGCACCAAGGACGAAACTTGTCACAAACTGACACGAACACCCTCACGGCAACATAAGCACTTTAGGATTTGCCAACAACAATCTTCATCACGAACGACAGAGCAAACCAATCTGAGGAGCAAATGGGAGGTAGTAGAGCCCACATGATTGTTGTATGAATTCCGAGAAAACCACATGATTGTTGTTTATACCTCTTATAGGATAAGTGAATAACAAAAGAAGCTTCTGGAAATAAATAGGTGCCAAACATGAAAACCCTAGGGACTAAGTATGGTATACCGAATATAAAGAAACAAATACGGTTATACCAAAAACACCCCGGAAAGAGGTTTGGCAACAAGCCCAAAAAGCCTTCGAACTTTCACCAAAAGGTCCAAGGGCAAAATAACAATCTGGAATTTTCACCGGAGAATACATCACAAGGAAAATTACACCACAGCCAAATCTACGCAGATGGGGTTGCGGGGTACGGACAGAGGTTTCTGGAGAATTTCGTCGGAAAATCACGCCGGAGGTGGGCTCACGCGCCGGCGGTGGCGCGTGACGCTGGCGGTGGTGACGGATGGAGATGAAACTTTCCAGATAAGGTCGAAAGATGGAGAGGAATTCATCAATGTGGGAGGTGAGACCAAAAAAACCATATGAGAAGAAGAGATCTGAGAAAAACCAATCGGTGCTCCGGCAATTGTGACGGCGCGTGTGGGCGCGTGAATCGACGGATGACACCGGCGTTTCTTGGTTAAGGTCGCGACATGATTCCGAGAGTGATTGTGGTTGCAGATTATGAAGCAAACCACCATAGATACGTCGAAATCCAAGAGGCAGTCGCAGGCTACTGTTTATGCCGGAAAATGTAAGGAAAATGTCCTGGGAAAGTGGCTCTGATACCATGTTGAATTTGGAAGATGGAATGGCTTGGCGGGTGGAGAATAACACCACCCGACAGTTAGGGCGGAAGCAATATGAAGAATCAAGATTAGGAAATGAATATAAGACTGAAATTATATTAGTCTTCCTTGTTTCTAATACAGAAACACAGTACATATATATATACAAAGACATAACCATAAATAACTACCCATAACTTACACCTATTCATAAACAGACACAACCCTATAGATAAAACTAACTCTTTATTTTCAACAATAATATGGCTGCAAGAGGAGATGATAAAGGAAAAGCTAAAGAATAAAGATACTTAGATTCTAACTGTTTAAAAAAGATATGCTAACATTATAATATTAAACTGAGAAGTTCTTGCTGCAAACACAAGCAGATCTCAGTTAAGCTTAGATGACTTGATTTGAGTAGAGATAATTGGATAATCAATTAGAGAGACAGAAATGCCCTTTTTCTTAACATGTCTCAAAGAGCAATTGTTGGGCCAATTTTCACTCATTTGACCAGGAAATAAAAATTTCAAAACTAGCCTTTTTGCCTGGCATTAACCTAGTAGGGTTATGGAACCAAGATTGTAAAGACTAAAGAGCATGATGTGACTTTCTGTAAGCTATGTTCTTCTGAATGTTCTATGAAAAATTGGGAAATAGAAAGTTGCAATAAGCTATTTGCTATGAAATGTTCAGTGTTCCTTAGTCTTGGATATCATGCTGCCCAACATTTTGCAAGTCCCTTTGAATATTTAACCTTTATGCAGAGAAACCATCATTGCATCTTACAAGTGTAAATTTTGAGATTATCTAAGTTCCTAGAAAAGTATGTTAACGTCACATCTTCCATATATTGATTTTTCAGCTTTCAATTTGCATAAATAAGAAACAACAACATAACCAAAGGCATCAGAAAGACGGTCAAAACAAAGATATTCTTTATGCTCATGTCAAGGTAGTATATACTTAATTGTTTCTTTTGTTATTCTTATCAATATCAACTTTTTTCCATAGAAATCTATGGAAAGATTTTTATGTCTGATGCCCTAACAAGAAAGTAATTGCCTAAGTGTAACACAGGAAGGTAATCTGGTTCAGAGTGAGATATATCATGATGGAATCATGCAGGGTTCTTGTGAGGAACGTGACAGGTGAAATGCAAGTGAGAACCTTTTATAATTATTGTTGAATGCTAACTATTCTAGATAGGGCATAGCATTCTTAAATAGGGCATTTTTTTTTTTTTTAATTCCTTTTGAAAAATAAATCTTCAACTTTAAGCACTAAAGTTAAAGTTCCACTATTAAGAAGTTATCAACATTTGTTTTCATGATTTTCCATTACTATGCTTTTGCATTTTTTCTTTTCTTCCCATGAGTGCAGGAATTGGAACACCTTAAATGGATGCATAGAAAATTTGTGGTGTGGTGGGGGAGGATAAAATGAAGTGGTAAATATTTTAGAAAATAATCCTCTATTCTATCAAATATTTCCTTCCAAAAAGTGGAAGAAAATAAGAAGAAAAATGAGGGAAAGAAAAGGAGAAACCTTTTTTTTTTTTTTTTAAATTAAATTATGTAGGAATTCTTTGCTTTCATTCTCTCTCTTCATAAAAATTATTTGACTTTAATTTCTTTCTTTTCATCCAAACACCAAAATTTATTATCCTTCTTATTTCCTTAACACCACTAAGGATTGTGACCATTCTTTTAAGATGAGATAAAATATACTAATGGAATCTTAGCTGCTTATTATGTAGGTAATATACTCATTTATTTCATGGCTTCAATAGACTGCATAGAGCTGAATTACTATAGAGAAAAGTTGGTTCTAATTTCAAAAACATGAGGGAGAAGACATGGGTCATTTGAAATTATCAAAGTAACTGTGTTTTAGGTCTAGCCATATACTGTATCTTTAGTGAAAGGGGAAAGTTCTATATAAATCTTCTTTCTTCAGTTTTGTTTCTTATCACCAGGACTGTAGAAACGATTTTCCCTGGTCTTTTGGACTTAAAACGGCAATTTCTGACACATTTTAGATAATTGAAGTTCCAGAAAACTAAAACACCCATGTTCTTCGCTTTTTGTCTCACATGTTGGAATTGCAAATTTGCCAATGCACTCTTTATGCTTGCATTTTGAGTGTTTTTGTATATACCTGCTCTTTTTACAGACCGCCAACTTCAGATGGTCCATCTGATGCTCCCACTGCTTTAACTTCTGAATTTCCTGATACTGGAAAACTTTCTAATCAGAAGCCCTCAGAACATATTAGGAGGGGATCAGCTGGTGTAACGGGGTCTATGATGCTTTTGAAATCACACCAGAGCATGCACACTCCATACACCCAGGTTGAGCTACTTTCATTAACTAGCTGAGTTCTTTTTGTTTGTTTGTTTTTGGTTTGCTTTGCTTTGCTTTGTTTTTTGTCTTTTCATGTTATTTGCTTCCTTTCTACATCAAATCCATGCTCACCATGTGGAGAAGCTTTAACAGGATCTGCCGCTTATGACTGAAGATATGCATGAAGAACGTCTCCAAGCAGTTGAAGCTTTTGGCAGTTCTTTTGTAAGCCCAATGCTCTACATGAAATATTTTCTCTGAATGTATTGTCATGAGATAGTGCATCTATTATTCCTTTAGTAACTATGCAGTTCAATTGGAAAGGAAATTGATGCTATCTAGGAAGCATATTGAACATTTCTTAGAAAGCAGCTATAAATTAGTTTCTGATTAGTAGTGTACAAAACGTTGTTGCATCACGTGACATCAAGTTCTGTGGCCATGATTCTGTTGTGTCCCATGATAATGTATGCAATGAAGATCTCATGTTGAAACATTTTCATTCTGCATGATTTCATATTTGGCAATACTCACCATTTTATCCCTCTTTACTCTAGATATAACTCTACTAATAAATTAATACTCTAAAACATTAATGAAACACTATGCAAATCCTAACTTTTCAAAATTAATTATAAAAGAAAAATAAAATTTGAGTACTCTAACGAAATAATTCAACTGTTATATTGAATAAAATATATATTATGTTTATATGTAGTGTAGGTAACTAAAAAGGAGTAGCATATTTAATTGAAAAGGATGTGATATTTCAAAATCAATTATTATTGTATCAGTGCTAATATTCTTTTAATCATTTTAAATAATTATACATGTAAAGTAGTTGTATAAGAAATGAGTTCATTTATCATAAGAGTGAATATATATTAGTGTCCTGCACATTGCACAGGTCAGAGTACTAATTTACTTTATCTGAGAGAAAAAAAAAAAAGGTCGCTTGGATAGGATAGTTCTTTTTCATTATAAATCCCATAATTAGCTCACTATTGCTACATGGGTGAAAATCATTCTACAATAGTTATGGTTTTGGGTTCTGATGATGAAGGATTGTATATTTTTACTTTGCAGAGCTTTTCTGCTCAACCGGAAAAAGAGATTTTGTCATCAGGTATCAAGTTCTTGTTCTTGCACAAGAACCAGTTCTATTTTTATTTTCTTGGAGCAGCTTTTACCTTTGATAAGAGACAAATGTTGTACCTTTCTCTTTCTGTATAGAATTTAGCATTATGAATTTATTGAGAAGTAAAATATGGTTTTAGGCTTTAAGCATTTGATGCATGGTTTTAAGGTTTTTCAACATGGATAGATTTTTGCTCTCATTTTGCTAGGTACATGAGAGCATGAATTAGCTTATCCTTATTTTGCTGAGGTCCATAATAGATCTATTACTATAACTTTTTCTTCTTCCTTGTGTGTGTGTGCATTATAGATACTGATAAGGACCTATCTCTTTTACTATGCAAACCAGATATGTCTGCATTTAAAGCAGCAAATCCAGATGCTGTGTTTGAAGATTTCATCCGATGGCATTCACCTAGAGACTGGGAGACTGATGATAATGATGCAATGGAAGGGTCAAATAAAGAGTGGCCTCCTCAAGGAAGGCTTTCAGAAAGAATGTCTGAGAAAGGAAATGCATGGAGAAAATTTTGGAATGAGGCCCCTCCTTTGCCAGCTTCTGAGCAGAAACCTCTTCTGGATCCAAATCGAGAAGGCGAAAAGGTACTACAATTACTATATATTTATATTTCAATATTAACCTTGTCATTTGTTGGTTTTTCTTGATTGGTCAAAAGTTCAGTGATGGAGGATTACCATTATCCACCTCAAGTTAATGCAATTATATATTACGAAAAACTGTTACGGGGATCCTCAGTAGTAAAGCTTTGGGGTGATCTGTTGTTAGACAAACAGGAATGAACAGCGAAGATGTGTGCATCTCTTTCATAACTTACTGACACTCTAAAAGCATGTCTGAGGGATTTTAGGTTAACATCACTAATCTTGAATAATTGTGTTAGAGTGGGGCATAGGATGCTATAGTGAATGCATTTGCAAAAGAATCATAGTACTACCCACTAGAGTCTGGCCAAGTGACAGAAAAAATCAGGATTTTGAAAATTTTTTCTTTCATTCAAGTTTGGAGCTATAATCCTTTCTTTAATTACTTATATATAGTTTCCCTCAGCAAGTGGGCCCCCAATTTAATTTCCAAATTCTGACGCTACCTTCTCTATGGAAAATTTCCACAAAGTAGATGCTCACAAGTCACAAGTCTTTCCACAGCCAATTATTATCATTTCTTTAAAATAGGATTAGTTTATTGGAAATGATTAGCTTGGGAATATATAATTCCCCATCTTCTCCCCTAAAAATTGAGAGGTTTGTAAACCTGGTTCTTTAAACAACAGCAATAAAGCCAATTCTGTGTTAATTTATAACTTTATTTTATAATAGACTCACTGAAGATACTGTCATCCCTTGGTTTATAAAAATCACAGTTTTCATGCTTGTATGGTTAGCTCAGTCTTAAACAAACAATAAGGGATAAAAGAACTGTTTCTTAATTATTACCAATGATGAACAATCTGAAGCCGGTTTCATTATTCAATTAGAAAATCTGCAGTATGTTGGAGGCATTGCTTTCCTGAATAGTCTCTTTATTCAATCACAGATCTAATCTTTGCATCATTCTAATTCCCACAGGCTCTTCATTATTTGGAAACTTTGCCACCTCATCTGCTATTGGAACAAATGATTTGTACTGCTTTCAGAGCCGCAGCTGACACACTAAATCAGGCAACTTTTGGAACTTTGAAACCTGTGGCAACCAAAATTGACCAACTCTACCTCACCCTGGCATCATCCTTGAGATGTTTCCAAAGTATTCTTTGTCCTACTACAACATTCGGGTTCATTTTAGGCTTTAGTAGTGTTCTAATTCCACATGTTTTGCCCCTTTCCTGTTGCAGCAAATGATCCTTTTGTCGATGCTGAAACTATTGATGACCTGAAGCGGCTTTCTTCCATCTTCGAACATGTGGAGAAGTTGGTCACCCTTGCTGTTTCTCTTCACCGTAAGTTCATGCGAGCCCCTCGCTTATCTGAAGCAATTTTCAACGACTACATCAACTTCTACATTCCGAAAATGGGAACTGCCTCAGGTGGAGGTGGTCACACCAAGGTTGGCATCTACTTCTCCTCTCGTTTTTCTACTCACTATCATCTCTCATTCTCTCGGCCACGTTATCAAATGGTAAACTATCCGAGACTTATGAACCAATTCATCAACTCATACTTTTTCATCATCCCGACAGGAATTCACCAAGAAACAACTGGTAAGACGACGCGAGAGAGAGATCGTCGCAAGCATGTTCACTCCACCCACTGCCAACCAGTCATGGAGAAAAGTGTTGAGCATGGGAAATCTCCTCAACGGGCACGAACCGGTCTTAAGAGAGATAATATTTTCCAAAAGCGAACAGATAAGTGGAAGTTATTATGCTACCAATACTCCCAAGGACTACGATCAAGATATAGAGACATACAGAATGTACATCTGTGGAACCTCCAACGATCTGAGCATAGCACTTGCTGTTGCCTCTTGTGACTAACAATTCTTGTAACGAAATGTGCAAGTATTTAGTATAAACTCAATGTATACTACACATACTGGAAATGAATTTCCAGTTCAAATTTAATGAACATTTCCATGAGATTTTTCATGACAGGGTGACCTCTGTTTGCTAACATTATTTAAAAAAAAAAAAAAAAAAATCAAATAGGGTGGTTTCTTAACAAATAATTAGATACTATTAGGGCGTGTGTGTGTGTATGTATGTGTATGTATATATATATATATATATATATATATATATATATATATATATATATATATATATATATATATATATATATATATATATATATATATATATATATTGAAATACTTATGTTCTATATTTTCTCGAATATTTTCAACCCAAAGAATCTAAGTCCCCATCACCGGTGTTCGAACTTATGATCACCCACTTGAAATGGTAATTGGGTTGTCATCACACTACATGTTAGTTGTAAGTTAATAGAGATTATTAATAATGCTTAATTGTATAACACCAACAGGGTTTATATATATTCTATAATAATAAAATAATATCAAATTTTGTAGTTTTTTTTTTTTTTTTTTTTTTTTAAAGGCAAACGAAGCGAGAACGGAGTACTTAGTTAAAGTGTTAAACAGACCTCCACGCATGTATAATTTAATTAAATATTTGTTCTTTTAATGTATATATGTGCGTCAATACTCAATTGCCCATTCAGCTCTTTCAATTCCAATATTTTTTTATGACCAGAAACTTATAATTACTATTAGAGAGTGTGTATTGAGTAAATTTTGTTTTTGTATAATAA